GAATACTTCCTAGGTATGGATTTAGGAAAAATAAGAGTGTTAGGCTATAATTTAAGTATGCAATTATTGTCTGTTATCTAGCATTGATAACAGTGCTGTATCTTTGGATTTGCTTTTGATTCAAAGTGGAAAGAATCTGTTTTGTTTTGTACTTTGGCCTATCTCAGGGAGAAGCTCAAAGCAGGGTTCCTCAAATGGATTTTTTTAATATTGAAGAGTTCATGTCAGCCCTCATTTTATGATGACTCTTCTACTTTTTTAAGCTCCCTTTTTTCTCGTTTAATCCCTCTTGAGATCTCTCTAAATAAGAGCTAAGAGCTTAGGTATTGACTTATCTAAGCCCTTTACTTCAGATTTATTGCTGCTGTGTTAGTATGCTGTGAGAATGAGAACACTCAGGTACCAAACTTCATGCTTTATTTACCCTGACTTTCTCCTGTCTGTGGGAAGTTCACATACAGGTATCGGATGGTGTAGTTTTCTGGTGGTTTAAGAATGTGCTAGATGAATGTTACCCCCTCTGTATTCTGGCTTCGATGTGGTAAGCAAGTGGCCTCCATAGTAGTCAGAACCAGAGCCCTTCGGAAGTAGACCTGATTTCCAGGGTTGTTGCGCTAACTTGATGCTGGGTTTTACTAAATTCTTTCTCTTGAAGAAGAGATCATGATGCTTTTCTTAGTTACTTGTCAGAGATTCAAAGACTCTGAAAGGGTTGGTCCCCAGGAAGACTTAGAAACTTTGCCATAAATACAGCTTTTTAGTCATGTTCCTGGTGGAAATAAGACTTCAGCAAATGTGTGTGTGTCCTCCTTGTACCTTTGGAACCTCCTGGCCAAAATCAACCGCACTCGACAGAGGTTTGCAGTCACAGGCTGCTGAATTCCTATAGGTTTTGTGGAAATTAGCTGCCCATGTAGGAAAGAAGCCCACAGGTGATGTTCTCACTGAGAAAGAAGCTGCAGGATGAACCTTATAAGCTGTAATAACTGAAAGCATATAAACAACACGAGAGTAACCCTGAATGCCTCGACCTTGGGAAGAGCTTCTACCGGAGCTCTCACAGATCTGGGCATGGCATGATCCAAGCACAAGATTCAAAGCTGCAGGAAAGCAGCGAAGTTTGGCTGCTCTCAAAATAACCTGGTCTTTCTGATGTAGTTACTTAAATGAATGCAAAATAAACATGGAGTGGTTGATTATATTTAAATGACATTTTTACCTATTCCTGGAATGATAGCAGACTGGGACGATTATTTTGGATTATGGCAAAGGTGGTAGGTAGTATGTTGCTAAAGCTTTCCCTCTATTATTCTGAGCTGTATTTTTGATAATTATTTTTTTCTAATACGATACAATAATACAAACAATATGAAATATGGTGGGGAAATGTTACAAATATTTTGTCAGATTTTAAATTTTTAAAAGTCTTCAGCTTTATTGAAAGCAATGACTAGAGTGCCTTACCAGTAGGGTGAGCAATGATGTAACAATTTACTTTTAGAAGTGCAAGTTTTTCATTGCTTTTAGACACTGTCTGTTCTTTTCCCAGGCATGACGGAAATGGTACGTAAAATTACACTGAGTCGTGCAGTGCGAACAATGCAAGATCTATTTCCTCTTGAATATAACTTCTATCCTCGATCTTGGATTCTGCCAGAAGAATTTCCCCTCTTTGTGGCTGAGGTAGATTACTTTTACTCTCAGAATAGTATAACTTGTTGGATATTGTTGCCATGTCATTCTTTAGTTTTTCATGCCTACCAGATTATTTAAAATCACACTTGGGTGCTGGGGAGGACATAAATTTTCAATGAAAAATCCAGACATAGTCTTGATGAACTGCTTTTGTTTGTTATGTTCTAGAATAAACTTTAAAAAAATTATGCTTCTCTGCAATGCCAAAGAGATGTCTGAAAATTAAACATGGTAGAACCATAAGCTCGTTCCGTGCATATTCTACTGAGTTTAAAAGGGCTGAGGTGGTTCCAGTACAGTAGTGTGTGGAGTGTGGTACTTCACCAGGTTCATTGTCACTGAAGTCTTTTTAGTCCACCCTACCTGTTCTATCCAAATCCTTCAAAACAGCATTTTGTACTGTGCATTGTTAAATATACTTGCATCTTCCTGAATAATTGTTTGTTTGAATCTCTTGTCAGACCGTTGCTTTGTTTAAATATTCAGAATGTAATAAAATGACATTCTTTTTCAGCTTTTTTTTTTTAAAATGATGCTGTGTGTTGCTGTTTGGTTCTGTTATTACAGATATTTTTTAAAATATTGTATGTGTTTGTTTTAACCCTGTCTGACTCGCTAGTGCATTCTTGTATTCTACAGTATCCTCTGATTGGAAAAGTGAGAGAAAAAGGTATGGACTTTAATAGACTTCTATACTGTGTGTTACTTATTAGATAATTACCATATCCACAAACCAATTAGATCCATGAACATCTTTTAATATATACTCTTCAAGGGTGCTAGGTCACTGCCATGGCACTGCTAGAACAGTAAGAATTAATAAAATCCCCAGTACTTCAGCCTTATTGCTGTAGATGTAAGACCAATTTTTTAAAAGGATTGTAAATTATCCAATCAATTTAGCAATGACAGGTAGTTAAGTGCAAATAACTTGGAAGTAAACTTTCAAAATGGTGCACTGGGGTTCTAGTAATGACTCTTTTGGGACTCGTGCCTGTCTCAGTTACGAGGCGCTGAGTAACGGCAGCAATGTGGGCTGTACAGCAGGTTAAATGCACAGAGCCGCACGCTGTCAGCAGGTGGCACTGCAAATAAATACTTCTCTCTGGTTGAACGGTTACTGCAGTGAAAACGATTCGGTTTTTGTTCCAAGAATAACAGATGTCCAGTAACACACTCCTAGGAGTTTCCTTTGCATATGTTCTTCCATCTGTGTTTGAGAAAAAGCATAGTTCTTGTTATCAAACATTATATTTTATGTTGTAAGAGTTTGTGTTCTACTTAACGCAAGTTGTAATGTAACCCCTCCAAAACAAGAAAAAATGCAAAACAAAAAATTCCAAATCCACTGTGAACCATAAATGGTTCAGAACGCTTTTTGCTTGCAGCTTCACGAGTTCTCAGTAGGAGTTCTTGTCTTTTCTGTTGTTTATTTGTTCATATGTGGTTTTTTTTGCTTTACAACCAAGGGACCCTAATGCTGCTGAAAATGTCAGCTCTCTGAGACTGAATTTGCATCTTATTCACAAACAAAGTACAAACAAGTACAATACAGCATTGGCAGTGCCTGCACGTTAAACATACCCCTGTAGCAACTGGCATACACTTGAATATGTGAATGCCATGTGTACATTTGTCTGAGCAAAAGATGATTTAGCCATCTTGGGTACTTCTGGAAGTAAAGTTGTATTGTCGTGGGCTGCAACTACTAAATACGTAGCTCTAGATACGTCACGCTGAAACTCATGTTGCTGTACCTTTGCTATTGCTAGTATTCAAGCCCTTTAGGGCATAGTTAATTACCAAAGTCACAAATTCTGTGTCAGGGTAGGTGTAGGTTAGACATGAGAAGATGGTTTGGTGCTGTGTGTAGTACAGGATTTTGTCGCAAAGGGCTGGACTGAGAAAGGAACACCTATGAGATTTCGCCTGTGATAGAAATGTCTACTGAAAGAAGAAACTCCTTGAGAATTTAAATCTCACTGCCTCCTCCTGAAGCACTACAACGTTGCAAAACAACTTGTCTTTCAGATATTCTTATTGTGCCTCACTTCTGTAGACATGATTGTGAACTTTTATCATATATTTATATCAATAACTAAATCAAATACTGTCAGTTTTTCTCATTTTCCACTATACCTAAATCCAGGTAGAAAACACTAGAGCTAATCTAAGATTAATCTTCTGTGCCTCAAAAGCCAGTAACTGATGAGAAAGCAGGACTCTTGAGTTTGTTGTGGATGTACTTCGTATTGGGAAATACCAACAAAATCATAGTTCCCTTAGTGTCATTTGTTTTGAAATGAAATTATAGGTATTTTTAACAACGGCTTAAAACTTCATTTTACTAAGTAAACATATACTTAGCTATTTTCAGTACTCACCTCTTCTTTACCTTATAAAACATTTTGTGCTAATGTGTCACCATAACAGAAGATGAATTACAGATAAGCAAATCTCTCAGGTGATCACCCCTTCACTACCAGAGAGGAATCTGTTGGAATCTGTGTGCTAAGAACTTATTTCTAGTAAGAAATTACAATTTCAGAAAAGTAGCTTGGGATTCAAACCAGGGCCTTGATTGCTCTCGTATTTCCTTTTGTGTTGTCTGTGAGAATGACGAATAGGCCTAGTATGATTGATTTTTAATAAGAATCTAATTTGGATAGTCTAATTTCCAGCACACTGTATGTTTGGTGGTTTAATCAGGTTTTCAGCTTTTGGATACCTTTTAGGCATAGACAGGCTTTGCGCTGTCAAATCTTAGAGCCTGTTATGTGCATTTTTTTTCAGAACACTGTATTTATTTAGCCCGTGTCTCCTTTTGAAAGCCAAACCTGCAACTGGATCAGATTTTCATACCATTAGACATCATACATTCCTCTTGCTGTTGACTGTAAACAGTTAACATGTTTTTAAAGATAATTTCCTTCTGTCAAGCTGAGTACACAGAAATATCTCATTTCATATCAACTAGTTTTCCCTA